CTCATTTTTTTTTAAAAACTCCAAGGCAATCCGGCCAGGCATCCGGCCGGATTTGGCCCCTTCCCTTTTTGGAAAATTTTTTTTTTCTTTTCCAAGTATAAAAGCTGCGCTCCTCCGCTCATCCAGCAAAGATATATGTAAAATGAAAACCCTCCTTTTTTCGGGGCGTCACAATCTCCCCTCCTTAAAAGAATGTCATCCTCAACATTCCATCTTGTACTAATCAAAACAAGATATCCCGCGAAAGTCAAACGAGCATTTCCAAGCAAACACTAAGGGTCAAACCATACCTACTTGTCCGTTTTCCGTCCTACAAGAAATCACTGATATGTCAAACCAGACCCACAGTCCGACATCCTAAATTTCAAGCCTAGGATACACTACCGGGATCTGAAGGTTAAGCTCTAATACCAACTGTGACAGCCCCACCTCCCCCTAAGGCGAACCAAAGGGTTCGGCAGACCGCCTGCCAAACTCTCGCCGGGACTCAGTCGTTCACTACAGTCCTCAATTGAAACACAATATAAATCTCAAATATACATCAAATGTTTCACAAATTTACATACACCACAAACTAAAACCTCAAGAGATACAAGCAATACTAATTTCCGAATAAGACAAAGGTCCTCAGTTCTCACAAATATACAAATATCCGTTCAAGTCCAATCATTTAAACAATACTAACTATTACACAAGAGGAGTCCGGATTCAAACTATACATGAGATAATCCATCCAATCACATGAATAAGTACTACAAGCCCTTCCTTCGCTTCAAGCCCTGTGCAGGGGAATAAAATCGTTTTGGGGTGAGCCAGAAGGTCATTGAGTAACCAAAAAAATCGGTAATCAAATCAGTTTCACAATCATTCGTTTCAATGATGTCATGAATCAAAAATCCAATGTATGTTTATTGCTCTCGTGAGCCAGTGAAATCACTGTACCCAAACATCCAACGCTCAAATTGATCTTTTAACATTAACGTTGAACAGTAAGAGGGAGCCCTTTGGTGCCCCAACTGAACATGAACTGTAAGACGTGGTGGAGACGTTGGTGTTCAGCACAAGACTCCCCAAGAACTCATTGAAGCCAAATCATATCATGAAGTCACATGCAAGCACGCATGATATACAATCGAGTAAATAATGCAGGAAAACGTTCATAAGTAACTTTGGAAATAGTTTGGGGTCACTCACCTCCACGGCTCAGGAACCATCCATCATATATCATTGCCTTGCCTAAGTCCAAGCCCTAGATCACAACTCAAAGCAATCAAACACTCCCAAAGTTCGGACAGCATTTCCCCTTAATCACGTTACTTTTCCAACCTACAAACATTCGCCAAATCCATAACTATCAATCACAATTGCACATATACATCCAATGAGGCCACAATATCCTTCAATCAAAGCCAATTAGAAACTTAAAAACCAACCATTAGAAAAACCCCCAAATTAAAACCCTACAAACCGGAATTTTCGCACAACCCAGAAATTTTGCGTAAATAATCATATCCAACATATAAAAGCTCCATTTTATGCCACAACAAACCATCATTCCAAGACCAATGAACCATAATCATATAAAATCAGAAAAATCCACAATAAATCAGAAATTAACCATAAAGTCCTTCAACCCATGAAATCCTCCACAATACCACATATTTAACCACCACAAACCACTAATTAACCAATATTAGAACAAAAGGAAACTTGCTTATCCAACTTACCCCAAATTCAAGAAAACTAACACCTTAGAACTTCCCTTCCAAAAATCACTCCGTCAAAAACTTTAAACCTCCATAGTGAGCCCTTGTATGAAGTATTTTCCAAAACCATCGGTGAAATCGTAAGATTTGGCAAAGATTGAAACTAGAAAAATTGAGAGATTTTCTCTCTATGAAGCTCGGTCAAGCCTGGTGAAAAATGAAGATATTTTTCAGCCAAAACAAGATATATATAAAAGAAAACAACTGGTCAAAAGTGGCTGCCGGAGCTACCACGTCACAATCCAGCCGGATTCGAGGCAGAGGCAAAACTTATTTTTTTTAAAAAACTCCAAGGCAATCCGGCCAGGTATCCGGCCAGAAACTGGCCGGATTTGGCCCCTTCCCTTTTTGCAAAATTTTTTTTTTCTTTTCCAAGTTTAAAAGCTGCGCTTCTCCGCTCATCCAGCAAAGATATATGTAAAATGAAAACCCTCCTTTTTTCGGGGCGTCACAATCTCCCCTCCTTAAAAGAATGTCGTCCTCGACATTCCATCTTGTACTGATCAAAACAAGATATCCCGCGAAAGTCAAACGAGCATTTCCAAGCAAACACTAAGGGTCAAACCATACCTACTTGTCCATTTTCCGTCCTACAAGAAATCACTGATATGTCAAACCAGACCCACAGTTCGGCATCCTAAATTTCAAGCTTAGGGTACACTACAGGGATCTGAAGGCTAAACTCTGATACCAACTGTGACAGCCCCACCTCCCCCTAAGGCGAACCAAAGGGTTCGGCGGACCGCCTGCCCAACTCTCACCGAGACTCAGTCGTTCACTACGGTCCTCAATTGAAACACAATATAAATCTCAAATATACATCAAATGTTTCACAAATTTACATACACCACAAACTAAAACCTCAAGAGATACAAGCAATACTAATTTCCGAATAAGACAAAGGTCCTCAGTTCTCACAAATATACAAATATCCGTTCAAGTCCAATCATTTAAACAATACTAACTATTACACAAGAGGAGTCCGGATTCAAACTATACATGAGATAATTCATCCAATCACATGAATAAGTACTACAAGCCCTTCCTTCGCTTCGAGCCCTGTTCAGGGAATAAAATCGTTTTGGGGTGAGCCAGAAGCTCAGCGAGTAACCAAAAAATCGGTAATCAAATCAGTTTCACAATCATTCGTTTCAATGATGTCATGAATCAAAAATCCAATGTATGTTTATTGCTCTCGTGAGCCAGTGAAATCACTGTACCCAAACATCCAACGCTCAAATTGATCTTTTAACGTTAACGTTGAACAGTAAGAGGGAGCCCTTTGGTGCTCCAACTGAACATGAACAGTAAGACGTGGTGGAGACGTTGGTGTTCAGCACAAGACTCCCCAAGGACTCATTGAAGCAAAATCATATCATGAAGTCACATGCAAGCACGCATGATATACAATCGAGTAAATAATGCAGGAAAACGTTCATAAGTAACTTTGGAAATAGTTAGGAGTCACTCACCTCCACGGCTCAGGAACCATCCATTATATATCATTGCCTTGCCCAAGTCCAAGCCCTAGATCACAATTCAAAGCAATCAAACACTCCCAAAGTTCGAACAGCATTTCCCCTTAATCACGTTACTTTTCCAACCTACAAACATTCGCCAAATCCATAACTATCAATCACAATTGCACATATACATCCAATGAGGCCACAATATCCTTCAATCAAAGCCAATTAGAAACTTAAAAACCAACCATTAGAAAAACCCCCAAATTAAAACCCTAGAAATTGGAATTTTCGTACAACCCAGAAATTTTTCGTAAATAATCATATCCAACATATATAAGCTCCATTTTATGCCACAACAAACCATCATTCCAAGACCAATGAACCATAATCATATAAAATCAGAAAAATCCACAATAAATCAGAAATTAACCATAAAGTCCTTCAACCCATGAAATCCTCCACAATACCACATATTTAACCACCACAAACCACTAATTAACCAATATTAGAACAAAAGAAAACTTGCTTATCCAACTTACCTCAAATTCAAGAAAACTAACACCTTAGAGCTTCCCTTCCAAAAATCACTCCGTCAAAAACTTTAAACCTCCTTAGTGAGCCCTTGTATGAATTATTTTCCAAAACCATCGGTGAAATCGTAAGATTTGGCAAAGATTGAAACTAGAAAAATTGAGAGCTTTTCTCTCTATGAAGCTCGGTCAAGCCAGGTGAAAAATAAAGATATTTTCTGCCAAAATAAGATGTATATGAAAGAAAACAACTGGTCAAAAGTGGCTGCCGGAGCTGCCACGTCACAATCCGGCCGGATTCTTGGCCGGATTCGAGACAGAGGTAAAACTCATTTTTTTTAAAAATCTCCAAGGCAATCCGGCCGGATTTGGCCCCTTCCCTTTTTGCAAATTTTTTTTCTTCTTTTCCATGTTTAAAAGTTGCGTTCCTCCGCTCATCCAGCAAAGATATATGTAAAATGAAAACCCTCATTCTTTCGGGGCGTCACACTTATAGCCGATATAAAATTAAAAAAATAAAAGAAAACAACGAAAACCAAATAAAAGAAATAATTCTTTAACCAATTATTAGAAGCAAAACAAAAAAATGAACAACTAATTGAGTGTTGGGGTTCTAAACTAATGCAAATAAAAGGTCCAAGGACGCTTACCAAATCGAAACAATGAGCAATTTATATATTGCTTGGATAGTAAATTATTTATCAAATTTTATTTACATGTATCAACAACACATTTTTCAATCACTTTTTTTTTATCTCACATACATCATATAAAAAAAGTGCTATAATATTTTTTTCAAAATTTTTTTTCCAAATAATCTACTATTCAAACACACTTATAGCAAACTCTACAAACCATGGACCCATTTGGCAGGTGAGTTTTTTGAAAATTTGTCTAAAACTTTACTGTAGTGCACTATAAAGTCTGTAAAAAACTTTACTGCATAGGTATAAGTTTTTTAAAACTTTACGGTAGCAAAAATTTTTTTTCTTTCAACTAATTGATACAAATAGGCAAATATGTAGATTTTCATATATTTCACAGTAATATGGAATCTCAAATAAGTATGCAAATTATTTGTTTTGTCAAAATAATTAAGGGAAGTTGTGAAAACGTTGCATTCATATAAGTGGCAAGGAATCTGGTAAATATTATAGAGCCAGAAGGCTTCAATTGCTACATGACCAAAGATTCGACAAATAAAAAAAGAGTTATATTATACAAAAAACTAATTTGGGCTATGTGGGAATCAAGTAATCAGCGTGGAAATTAGGACAGGCCACCATATACTCATTTCGGTGCATCCACATGTGATCAGCCATTGCATTTCGTAATTCCTTCCAATCATAGAGTGCTTCTGAAGTGACGTGGAATTGTAGCATTTCAGCTCCCTCGGTACCTCCGACATCCATATTAGAGGCAGCATCCGTCAAGTAGAGGTTATATGGCTGCATCTCCCTAATGAAATTTTGCAGTACATAGCACGCCACTACAATGTTCCTCTGTGCCTCAATAGGATAGTTTTTCATAGGATCTTTCAAAATTTTAAATCTCATTTTCCATACCCCAAAGTCCTCTCTATCACATTCTGAACCGAAGAATGGTGGCGATTAAATAATCCTTTCTGTTCAGTCTGTAATCTCCCTTTTGGATTACTCTTGAAAGGGGCCATGAAACCTGGCATGTGTCTGTACTCTGCATCAACTACGTAATGTTTTCCAACCAGTGGCACGGGAAAGACTACACTAGGATTGGAAATAGCATCCAACAAGACACGACTATCATGAGCACTATCTTCCCAACCAATTCTAACGTATATGAACCTCATATCATGGTCACATACAGCTAAAACATTTTTAACTTGATCTACGACATATATAGCAATTTTGGAATAACAGGTGAAGCATGCAAAAGTATTATAGCAAAAGGAAGATATGCATCTATTTTCGCAGCATATATAGCAATTTTGGAATAACAGGTGAAGCACATGTATAATGAATACCAATAAACTGCACATGAGGTTGGAAAAAGAGTAACACAGAATATATACCTTGAAGTAATTAGTGATGCAAAGTTGTAAGTCGTTCTCTCCACACTCGGACCATCCAGCGCTCACAGGATCAGGAAGTACGAGTTTTCCGACTGTGAGCGAAGTAAGGTAATTTAACAGTCCAACATGCAGGACCAAAAAAAGAAATCCCTGAAACAAACCTCTATAAATGGATCTAATGTGCGGCGGCATAAATCTGTTAACAAAAGAATGTATGCCTGTATCTCAAATTGTAGAGGATAGCTTAATTATTTGTTTAAAACAAAAAATTATGCTAAATTGAAATGAAATTCCACATTCAAAATATTAAAAAGCAAACATAGAATTTCAACTAATTCCACTACCCCTATCTTTCTCGAATCAAAACACAAGAAAAAAATTACTACTAGTCTTGGATTAATTAAACCAAAGCAAAATTAATAGACCAAATTCAATTCAAAAATGAAAATAGGATAAGCGCAACCGAAGCAAACCAATGAATCTCAAGGTTTCGTCGAACATGGAGATCCTAAGCGAACATGCTAATTTGCTAGCAATACTGAAAGTTTATTATAGCAAGATCCAAGCATCCCAACTTAAGCCTTCAAATATATTATATGTAACAAAGAATAACACGGCAATAACCAAAAGAAGTCCTGACTGAACAACGAAATAAATTAAACTCCTACGGCCTCCTTTTATCTAAACTACCTAATTGAAGCAAATGAAGCCATCATGATTCAAGCACTTGGCAGTGAAGTGCCAGATTTTGTAAAGTATAAAGTAACCAAGAACAAGGCCTTAATCTCTAATTCTATTTTCTAAGAATAGTTGACAACAAAATTTCAGCTTATGTGGTACCACGATAAAACTTGCTAATTACTGATCCATTTCAACAAGAAAAAATTTCCTCAAACTAGTGTTGTAACCCCCTTTTGTTCTGCAGTAAACACGTTCAAAATCAATGAAACAAATTGGTGCCCATAGCACCGCCTCACACTAACAAGAGTTAAAGCATTTATGCTAACATAGGTTCTGAAACACAAGTAGCATTTACAATTTTCTCTAAACAACATATTCCAAGATTTCACCCTATTACGAGTCAATTGCATGCTGATAATCATGTGTTAGATTTTTGTGCAAATGTTTGAGATTTCCTTGTTGTTCCTTCTGATATCACTACACTTGTCTATGTGGCTTAAAAATCTAGCCAGGAAAAATTCTTTTACAACCACTATATGAGGTAATTGCTATGCCAAAAAGACAAAACGTGATGCCAACTAAAATCTATTGATGTGCATTTCTCACTTTTGCTGTGCATTTCTACAATAATGGGAGCAACCCTCACACTTATGCTTGATCACTTGACAAACATGCCCTCACACACACACACACACAGACACACAGAGTTGAATTTAAAGAGCAGCAAGAGAGAAAAACAAGGTAGAGATTCCAGCTTAGAAAAATGTGGAGCATACAACTCTACTTCCAGCTTAGCAATTAATTTACTTAGCAGTCAAGTGCCAAAAAATAGCATATTTAATAAAAAAAAATGCCAATAATTATTGACTAGTATCTAATATAGTGGGAATGATCAGCCATTGCCAAGAATTTGTTGACTGTCTGCTGTGTCTAAAAAAAACAAAAAAGAGAAGCCGAGCTCAATTGAATGGTTGTGGAGGAGGTATTGCACCTAAAATTAGAGGGGTTTTGTAGCGGCAATGACCAGAGCAAGCTGTTGCAAGGCAGAGTGTGGTGGAGGGCAAGAATCAGCCACCGTAAACTTGCCAGATGGGATTTCTCCTTCCAAAATGCCGGACCTTCAGTGGACAAATCCGATCAGCTGCAAGTTTGGAACACCTTCTGGGTTTCACCAATTTCACACCGCCGCCTCTCTTTTCAATAATCAGCTTCAGACGGGCTCGTATTACTTGGTGATCTTCGGAGTTACAACAACTAGGGCATGAAAGAAAATTATTTGCGCAGCGGAATGAGCAAACAGTTTTGTTTTGTTCTTCTTGCTTGAAGTTGCAATTTGATTCAGGCCTTGATATTTCAAAACAAATAAGTACTTACTTGTTTAGACGAATATGCGATGCCTAATATAGATGTTTGAATTCCAGCAATAAGCCTTCCACACGTCAGGCCTCTAGTTCGTTCACACAAACTCAAACTAATAGGTTACTGAATTTTGGAGTTTTGTTTCGGTAGTGAAGAAACAATGATATTGCTTTCTTCCTTTTCCAAAAACAATCGTGATTGTTTTTCACCCGAGTAGACCCTTAACAACTCTTTGTCAATAGGGCTTATTTATACAGTTGTTTTGATTAGATCAATAGCTTATATTATCTTGATCAAATCAATATCACTTAATTCATATGATTATCCAATACATATTTCATTCTTATCTTGATCAAATCAAAACAACCGATTTATATTTTTACTGTGACGCCCCACTTCTCCCTAAGGCGAACCAGAGGGTATCCGCGGGACGCCTGCCCAACTCTCGTCAGGACTCACTACAATCCATAATTCACAAGCTCTGAATACTTCAATAATATTTCAAATAACTTCAATACATAATAAAAGTACTTCAAAATATCTCAAACTTACAATTAATCAGCTTTCAACCTTAATACAACCTAAAAGAATATTTACTACAGCCATCTGCTGCAATACAACTTAAAGTCTTCAAAAGAAGGCAATCTAGTACTATTCATGAGTACTCTCGTCTCGAACCTTGTTAAAGAAAATAAAATCGTGGAATGAGCTACACAGCCCAGTGAGGTTCCAAGACACTCTAGTAGTTTTAATAAATCAAATAATTGAGCATACTGCATGTACGGTTCAAGGTTGCACATTGGCATATTAACATGAGACAATAATCATTGTACGAGTAATTTGAGCATATCACAGGTATGGCACATTTGCATGAAACGGTTATCATTATATAAAATAAACACACATTGAAGGATACAGTGTTCCATTAGAACCATTTCGGTCAACTGCACCTTATAACTTCCGGTCCCCACGGTACTGTCTGGCCATCGCCTTATCCCTCCAGTGGTAATACTCAAGTATACCGAAACGGTGGCCCAGGGTTCCAACCTACCCGACCGAACCCAGTCCTGGCTCGAGTAGGTCAGTAACCAAGGGCAGGAGCCAAGTTCAGTTTAGAGTTTACAACATGTACAAGTAATCAAATAACTTGGCTAACAGTAAAAATTTATTCTTTTGGTAGGTCGAGTGAGATAAACTACACACTCGCCTTAAAATGGTGGACAATTTCATATGAGCAATTACTAGCAACAATTAACACATAAACACCTAAGCAATATTTGATAATTTCATGTGAACATGTAATTTACGGTAATCAAATAATCAAGTACCAGGTAATCAAGTAGATAGGAAAACGGTAAGTAATTACGGTAAACGGTTAACGGTAGTAATCACGGTTAATTGGTAGACATTAGTCATTTTAATAGGCCGCCATTGGCCGTTTCTCACTTTTACCACTTAAGAGTCGAGGAGATTCACTCCAATCGACTTATGCAGCCATAGCATAATTGATCATTTAATCACATCACATAAATATGAAATTCAAGTATTTCATGTCGAGTAATTCAAATATATATTACTTAAATATGCATGAGTGTGGTAAATACTTAACATATAGCACTTAATACTTAATGATCATGGAATAAGCATGTCATAGACTTATTCAAATTACGTACTCCTATATGGAACACTCACCTATTCAAACAAGTGAGTAAATGTTCAACAAGTGTTTAGGCGTCCACTTCGAGTCCCTCTTGAAGGTTCCCTTGAGCGCTTGAGCATATAACAACTAACTATCACACACTATCACTTAAAAATCCCTAATTATCAAAGAAAGTTGTACTAGTGTATAATCTAGGGAGAATTCATGAATTGAATCTTAATTATTTATAATCGAGGCGCGGAAGTGGTTTCAAAAACACAAGAGAAATTTGATTTTCGCCTTTGAAATCAAGTGTAAAACGGTCTAACAATATCAGAGGAAAATGGAGAGTTTGAAACCCTCAATTTCCTTTAAGTTCGGAAATTTCAGATTCGGCAAGCAAACTTTGAAAAATCAGATCTCACTCTCTATGAGTTCAAAATTGGAAAACTTGGTACCGTTGGAAACTACTTCCAAATTACTAAAAGTTTTTAGAAGACACTTTCTATTATTCCAAACGGAAGATATTCAAAATTTGTCTCAAAGTTGCTGTCTTGGCTTGCTAGACAGTTTCGGGTTGGTTTTCGGCAAAGTTTGGAAATTCAGCAAAATTCACACAATATGAACCAGCCTCTGAAATTTGGAACTCAATTAGAGTCACAAACAAAGTTTAAAACATAACAAGCAGAACAAGAATTGGAATTTTGAGCACCAAGATATAGTAGTTCAAAGTTGCTGAAAAATCGAAACTTTTAGGCAATTTCCAGGTTCAAATCACAAATTTTGGGACTTTGGTTAAGCATTGAAATGAACTCGAAATGGCACCAAATTTGGTAGTATTACACTACCATATAAGGGCTATTCCTCTGTCGAATTTCAAGGAAAAATACATACAGAAAGTCAGTTAACAAAGTCACGAAAGTTTCTAAATTTTCAGGGCAAAGCTGCCTTGTGCTACCATTTCCCTTTTTTAAATCATTTGGCTAATGAAATATCTTCAAACATGGTTTATTTGTGTAGACAATGTCTAAGTAACATTCAAGATACATTTTCTTAGGTGATTAACACAAGAACAATTTCAGATTCGAAAAGCAATTTC